CGAAAAAGGCCGAAAAGCGATGCCTATCTTGGAGGATAGGAAAGCACGAAATTGCGGCTGCAGTGACACATCGCTCCCTCCAAGGCTCGTAAAGAACAGAAAAAAATGAAACGCGTAAGGAGAGAAGAGATATCGTGCCTCACTGATCGATAAGAAAAAATGCTTATTACAAACTTACCAAGAGGTAAATGATCTTTGCTGATCAAATACATGTTGCGATGACAAAATCGTGCGGATTGATGGTAACATCGGTCTGCCAGAGCAACATTTTTCACTTAAATAAAAGAAAAAAGAGAGTAGATGAAGTTAAATATTATGATACACCATTTTCTATTCGTTTGGTCGAAGAATGAAAGCATAAATAGGAATTTTCCTTTACGAGTAGAAATGAATTGTTTAATCGATTAAAAACGAACTGGTTAAAATGTCATACAAAAAATAGTATTCATTTTTCTTCTTAGCTAACAAAAAGAAAACAACGGTTTCTGTTTGAAATAATTGAGAATAAACCATTCATAAAAGTAATAGAATTACATTTGTTTTGAACTGCTCGACTCAATACATTTGCAATCAAACAATATTCTACTTATCCGTGTGAGAAGAAAACGGCTGTAGAACATTTAAAATTTATAAAGCATTCATGATAGAAACAATCTCGACATTCATACACAGCTGTTTATTTCTTTTTTACAGAGACAATGATCTATATTTTTATTGCAGATATTCCCACTAATATTCGTAACTTTTCATCAAATTTTAGAGTAAAATATTGCTCTAATTGGACACTATTATTTTATTTGTAATGCTTTTATTTCATCGAGAAGTGTGTGGTGTGTCCTCACGCTTCGGTGTCATGGACGAACATCGTCCCTGTGACAAAAAAGAAAACCACATAAATTGCACACGTTTAAATTGTAGCTGACAATTACGAAAAGAATTAGTACAAATCGCAGTAACATCGACATTTCGATAAATAAGAAGGAGAAAAAAAGACAACCACGTACAGACGAGGGAGAAAAAAAAGAATAAAAGAATAAAAGGGAAGGGGACATAAATGGATTTGACGTTTATTTAGTGCAGATACAGATCAGGAAACAAAATGATACATATCAATTTCATCGTTATCAGAGGTCCTTTACAATATCGTTAACATAATCAGAAGCAGAAAGTACAATCAAATAAAGAGGTTTTTGGTGCGTTTATTAAATTAATTATTTTTTTTATTCGTTCTTCCTCTGTTGAATATTTTTCGTTTTTCTTTCAGTAAGTTGGGATTTTTAAAGTATTCCTGCATATACAACAGGTACATTTTATGTTGAATAAAATCGCCGATTACCGAAGAATTAGTTCGAAGAATCGTGCCGATGAGTTTTACCCAATGAACTTGGGTGAGCTCATCAATTGTTTTATACTTACATAAATTTGACACTTCAGTATTTGTTGCATCATACCATCCGTGTGTTGATCTAAATACTTGCCTGTTAAGTGCTTCTAGTTTATTCTGTTTAGAAATAGACAATAATGGGTATATATTTAAAAGTGATTGGTAATGAGGTCTAATGTAAGCATTGAACAGCCGATACTCTGAAAAAAAGAAAGGAGGTTTACAGAACCCTCCGAAAAGGTTCTGCAGATTTTCAAAATGCTCCAAATGTGTTCAAAGTNGTACAGCAAAAAAAGGTTCCGTGAGAAAATACGAAACCTTGAAGGTTCTGTCAAAATTTTTATCCTTTTTTTGAGACTTTGAACACATTTGGAGCATTTTGAAAATCTGCAGAACCTTTTCAGAGGGTTCTGTAAACCTCCTTTCTTTTTTTCAGAGTAGGCTACCTCTTCGCTAAGGATGCGACTTGACGCGAGTCGTTTAAATATAGCCAGATTTTTTCGTATCTTTGTTTCTATATAATCTAAATGTAAAGAGAACGAAAGCTTACAATCCAAAATTGTTCCAAGATACTTAGCTTTACTAGTGTGAGCAATCTCATAACCATCGCAGGTCACTAGTGGTATTTTAGGTACCGCTTGTCGATGCAATAACGTCCATTGCGTTTTCTCAAAGTTAATGGGCTGCTTCCACATAGTAGTTTAAGTTATTAAAGAAGCAATAACAACTTTTAACCTCTCCAAGAGATTAGGAATCAAAGTTTTTGTCGGCCATGTAGCAGATGGGGCGATTATGACAGATAGGTCGTCAGCGAATAGGTGTTTCCAGTGTAATAGTGACATACAGTTCAATAGATCGTGATGATACACAATAAAAATTACTGGGCCAACACATGAGCCTTGTGGCACCCCTTTATATAAGTTGAACGCACTAGATCTAGCCTCCTTCATATCAATATACGCAGAACGTCCCGATAAATAACTCCTCAACCAGCCTACTAGATATGTTGGACAATCCATTTTGTGCAGTTTGAGCCAAAGTCCTTGGTACCACAGTTGGTTAAATGCAGCTTTGAAGTCTACGAATAAAGCAGCTGCTGCTGTATTTAAGGCCAGACATTGGCCTATTTGATCTATAATTGAGACCAGACGTACTGTCATATTGTGACCAGGTCTAAATCCTGTTTGCTCCTCCGGCAGAATACCCGCGTCGTTTACCCATTTTCGAAATTGTACGAGAAAAATCTTTTCATATAGTTTGGAGAAGCATGGAAGCAGTGAAATAGGGCGTGTCTCCTCTACTTTTACAATATTTGATTTGGTTTTAGGAAGTAGAATCATTTTTGCTACTTTCCAATGCGGTGGAAAAATCAGTTGTGATGCAAATGACTTAAAAGAGGTACATATGATTGATTGATGAGACGGTGGTAATAATTTGATAATCTTATTTGAAACGCCGTCTAAGCCAGTCGAATTCTTGTTCTTTAGAGACGCGATTGTTCTTCTAATATCCTTTATTTCAATCGGAAAAGCTGTTGGTATATTGTCGCTCATGCGAATCCTCAAAATACTATCAACGTTTTCTGCTTCTATTTCAATTGTGGATGACGTACTTTTGTGTTCCGAAAACTGTTCTTGATAGAACGACTTAGCGACATCACACATTTCGCTTGTTGATGATACTACATTGCCATTTGGCATCAGAAAACCTTGGATAGGTGAAGACGTCGTCGAAAAGTGTCTTTGTGCCTTTTTCCAAAACTGTTTTACATCACATTTGTTGAACGTTTTGCAATACTCGATCCATGTTAATCTTCGGTAGGCGATCAATTCTCTCTTTATTGTAGTCGAATATGTTTTTAGTTGCGTTATAAAAATAGGATGTTTTGTTTTTCTTACCAGACGTAAGTACTCACTCTTTTGCATAATTAATTGCACTATGTGCGGAGGAAGCGTTGGTCTATAAGACGTGCAATAAGTCACATAAGTGAGTCTTGCTGCAACCAGTGACAAATATCTCTCATAAGTATGAAAGAACTGTACACTATCTTTCATCATTGTTGACAGGTCTTTCCAATAAGAAAAAGTGAACGTTAAGAACATTTCGAATAACTGCCAGTATGTACGTTTGATAGGATATTGACAATCTTTTTTAACCAGTTTAATATCAGGTATCCAGATGACCGGAAGGTGATCACTACCCATTGATGGCAAGACAGAAAAAGAAGTTTTTATTCCAGTCATTTGTGCTGGTGCCAAAATTAGATCAATTGTTGCGTTAGAACGAGTAGATGTTGCAACATATTTATTAACAACTGTCATTGACTTGGTTAGTAGCCAATCAAAAAGAACATGACCTTTTTGATTTTCATTCGACCTGGACCAAGATTGGTGTTTCGCATTGAGATCACCAAGGAGAATAGTATTTTTATTTCTTTTCATGATTTGATTGAAAAGAGCAATCGGTAGTTTTTCATTTGGGGGTGAATAGCATGTTGCGAGTTGGAATTTATCATGTGAGCTGCCTATATCTAGAGCGATGATATTTGGCACTTTCTTGAAAACGTCAACTTGTTGAACTGGAATGGAGCGATGTACTGCAATTAATACTACGCCGAAACTGTTTGTTCCCTCTTGAGAATAAATATTATAATTGTTGAAGTGTTTGGAAAAACTTTTGGCAGCTGCCTCTGTATGATGTGTTCCATTCAGAACAACAATAGGACACGAAACGTTGTCTAGTAGAAGAAAAATGTCCGCCAAGTACAATGATAGACTGCTCACGTTGAGTAACATTATTTTTAGTTCACTTGCCATCTGCATCATATTGTTAGTTATCTTACTCCTTTTTTCCCATTTTGATAATAAGTCGTCTAAGATTGGTGTGTTTGTCCATTCCCTCATAATTTCAGTAAATATATTTTGCTGTTTTTGTGATAGGTGGTTTGTCGGTATATTATATGAAACTGTACGATGTGGAACAAATTCTTTAGCACTTGGATTCATCGTACGTTGTCATATTTATGTCATTCGATGTTATCGTCATTTGTTGTTGATGTTTCTGCTGTTGTAACACTTTCGTATTCTGTTCTAGACGAAAGCCTGTATGATTTGAAGCTTTTTGTTCCAGAAAGCTGACCAACCTATTATAAATTGGATTTATTTGCTGTTTTTGCTGCGTGGTAATTTGGGTGTAAATGACATTTGTAATGTCTTTCAGCAGTGGGCATACAATATCATTTAAAATATAATTAATATTGAGAATTTCCGTGGCTTGGTTGTTGATTTTTATATTTGTAGCATTAATTAGTTGATTAACTTCTGCTTGTTGTTTCAGAATTGTTTGTATGTTATTTTCTATTGAATCTAATTTTTTCATTAACTCATCATTATTGTTGTCATGAACCTTATTCCCTCGACTGTAAGGAGGGTCATATGAAAAAAACTAAAATGCGTTTGTTTGCTTGTTTGCTTGAGGTCAAAAAAACATCTAAGGAAGGTTAGCTTATTTTCAGACTTTTGGTCGTTTTGATCGAACTTTGCCATAGGTTATCGAGGGCCCTGAATCCGAAGCCACTTCTTTGGTCGAGGTTTCATTGGTCGCGAAGTGACCAATCGGTAATAAACTTTCTCATTTAAGGGTTTTGGCCGTTTTAATCGAACTTTGCCATAGGTTATCGACGGCCCTGAATTCGAATCCGAAACCCATTTCTTTGGCCAAGGTTTGATTGGCCAGGAGCTGACCAATCAGAAATGAACCTTCTCATTTTAAGACTTTTGCCGTTTTGATCAAACTTTGCCATAGGTTATTTGGCCGAGGTTTCATTAGTCGAGAAGTGACCAATCAGAAATGAACTTTCTAAATGAAGAGGATTTGGCGGTTTCGATTGAACTTTATTGCAGGTTATCGAGGATTCTGAATCCGAATCCGAAGCCCATTTCTTTTGCCGATGTTTGATTGGTCGGCAAGTGACCAATCAGAAGTCAACTTTCTAAATTTAAGAGATTTGGCCATTTTGATTGAACTTCGTTGAAGGTTATCCAGGACCGGAATCCGAATCCGAACCACATTTGTTCGGCTAAGCTTTCATTCGTCGGAGACCGGCCAATCAGAATGGAACTTTCTTATTCCATCGACTGAAGGGAGGGTGATACGAAATAAAATAGTTTGCACGGTTGTTTGTCTGCTTGGGGTCAAAGGCCATATATACAGCTAAAACTGAATTCCAAGCATTCAGACAATTCTCCAGAGGTAATTGGGGTCGGGGTATCTCAATCCGTGATAAGGTTTTTGAAATTTTTAGTTTGAGATTTTTTAAAGAGACAAAAACGGTTTCCAAAGGAAAATTGCATTTAAAAAGTGTTACCAAAGAGAATCAGGGTTGATCGAATCCGAATCTGTTATCAGCTTGTGAAAGTTGTGTATACGATTTTTCTGTAGAAAATTGACAATAATCATTGGTAGGAAAAGGATATTTTAATGAGTGAGCGGCTAGGCGTAAGTAGCGCTCAAGGGGCGCGCCGACGTACGAGTAGTCACTTGTATATAGTTTAGTTTAGTTTTCCTTGAGGAAAGATCTGCATAAAAGCTAGGGTGTTTTTGGAGAGTTGTACACTAGGAATCAGTCAAGGAAGGATTTCTGTGTAGCATTGAATCTTCAGATAGACAAAGAAGTTTTAGGAATAAAGAATAGGTCAGAAGTAAGTCATTGGCTTTGAATGTCGGATTGAGAACTCTCCTATTTTTTGTAGCGAATGGTTTTTCTACATGAATGAAAGTGAAAGTCACCTAGATTATTATTAACAGATGATGATATTAAGTTAAAGTGGGTATCATCACGGGAGCGGCTAGTCGTGAGTGGCGCCCGGAAGGGGCGCCGACGAACGAGTAGTCGGTGACATGGAAAGTTCACTGAGAGTATGATTCAAGCTTAAGAAATACATAGGAATAATTTCTATCGTATAGGTCTGACCGGTTTTAATATTACCTGATAGTGGCGAAAAGTCACAAATATTTTTGGAATAAACTATCAGAATAAGTTTTCTTTCTGCATAAAACATCGAGAAAGAATACTTCACTCAAAAAATCTCTTAGCTAATTTAGATACTATGAAGTGAAAGCGCGCTTGAATAAAATAAAATGAGTTCTCAGATTCCAGGCGTGTAGGTGGGTGTGCATGATATTAGATTGGTGTAGATTATGTGAATTTAGGTTAGACATCGAGGTGTAGGTAAAAATGTGTTTGGATGAATCTATGACAAAATGCAACAGACGGATATTGATACCCTCACGGAAAACAACACTGCAGCGCATGTGGACATCCACAACCGCATTTATCCTCTGTCTAGTACTGGATACGCATTTTGTTTAGGGTTGTAAAGTAGTATTTTATACGCAATGAACTGAATATGCAGTCGAGGGTCAAGCGAGTCTTGCAACGAGCGTTACTTGTATTTATGTGATTTTGCAATTCAAGAGAAACTTAAAAATCGTGTCATTTGTTAGTTTACGCATTTGAACAAAAAACAGTGACATACGGGTACGTCTAGCAGTTGCCTGCTCATTTAATTAAAGTCGAACTCGTTTCTTGTAGTCAGTTGGTGATGAATAAAATGGAGGCGAATAAATTGATTCATTCACTGTATATTTTGAAATGAAAACAAGTTATCGTTCTTCAAATCGAGTCTGGCATTCAATATTTGTCACTGATGGGATATTTTACTTTTGCTATCTAGTTACCATTCCATAAATTCTACAACAGAAATAAGATAAATATGACGCAACATATTCATACTCAGTAAACGAGCAAACTGTGACTTTGAACACAGATTTCAAGAAAGAACTCTGTCAACGAAACAGCACTTTGCTCTATTTTGATTTTCATCTTGATACCACTATGATATGAAACACAATTGCATGATTAGCTACCAATATACTTCGATCTAAATTAAGAATGGCTTCCTATTTGTTTTTTTAATAAATTTAAAATTATTATCTAAAAGTAAAGAATCTAACTGACTCATTTTTTCAAGAAATCATTGAATCTTTCTCAGCAAAACTCACAGAGTTACTTCGTAATCCTTAAATAAGCCATTTCATAAACATAATGAATATATTTGAAAGATCAATCGAGCATTATCTTTAAACAAAACAAAACATTTTTTGAATAGTTGTGTTTGTTCAGGTTCATTGTTCCATAGTTATGTTTAACAAACAGATCAATAATATGGGAAACACGATTATTTAATTGTAAACATGTATGTGAAGTCAATCGTTTAGTGTTAATCGATGTAATAAATCTAATGTTCGGATTAATAGAGCATAACAGACCTTGAAGGTATTCTTTTAGAGCATCTAAATTTGCAAGATTTCAAAATAAAATCATGATTTTTCGATCTATTGTCATTATAGATAAATCGAAATTAAAACAGGCGAATGATGAAATCATTTGCTTTATTACTAAATCATAACTAAATGTAATTTTTCTGTTTAATGAATTTGTGAAAATAGATCGAACTTGATATTTTATTTTTTATTTTATAAGAAGAGGGTTCCCATTTCCCGAAGCAGACGGGAGTGAACCCGGGTGATCCTGGCCGATGTCCAAAAATCCTTTTGAAAGAGCCTGACCCCAATGGGACCAGCGCCAATTTTCAAACCGACGAGAACAGATACTACACTTTGATCTTAGCCGAAAGGCCGAGAAGCGATGCCTATCTTGGAGCATAGGAAAGCACGAAATTGCGGCTGCAATGGCACGCCGCTCAGTCCAAGGTTCATAAAGAACAGAAAAAAATGAAACGCGTAAGGACAGAAGAAATATCGTGCCCCGCA